TCAAGACCTGACCGGGCCTGACGCGACACCCCATCACCCGCCACACATGTGAGAGAAGAGGAGGGGCCACACACCTGGAAGAAAGGTCCCTCCTTTGGACACGCACATGGGGAGGTACCACAGATGAGAGATGGGGGGAAAGGAGAGACGAAGATGGAGGCGAGGGAGAAGGCCAAGATCGCAATAGCGAAGTCCAAAAATAGTCCCTTGCCGATGTCCAATCAATGTCTGCCTCAGAAATGCCGGATCAGAACCTGGGCGCTCTGCCCATGGTAACCTCTGCCTGTATCCTCTGCCTGGAACCTCTCTCACTCTCGTATCTGAAGAAGAAGGTGAAGAAGGAGGAGGAAGGAGGAGAGAGGAACAGAGGGAGAGAGACGGGATGGAGGACGAGGAGGAAGAAGAAGATGTCGTCCTCCTCGCTGTCTCACCTGCAGGTAGCTGCCACCGTACTGACTGTACAGGCACCGTGCGGAGGCCCAGCTATGGCGCCAGGTAAGTTCGCCGATACAGGTAGGCCTCCGCCTCTCTCTACCTCCCGCACCTCTACTCCCTAACTTTGCAGCGCAGCGCCAGAATATCGCAGCCTCCAACCAGCAGCATGTCGCTCAAGAAGTGAGCTACCTGAACTGTCTGGTACCCAGGGTGAGGCCCAGCTATATACTGCGCTGGGCCCTACTGGGTAGGTCGCTGTGTGGCCTAGAACGGCCCGTACGGTCGAGGTCCCTACCGGGGCCCAGACCGTGCTGCTGATGCAGCAGGGCGCAGAAATGCGCCTGGGCCGTTTTGGCGCTGTGTCCGGTGCACCCAGCCCAAGGCCGTGCCTTGGGGACTGCAAGTCTGGCACGACGTTTGAACGGACAAAATAGGACACCACATCACGGAAATAAATAAATAAATAAATAAATGAATACAAGTGGACCCGGCCACGGCTACGCCGTGCCGCACAGCAACACTCGCTGATACCCTGTGGCTCTCTCTCTCTCTCTCTCTCTCTCTCTCTCTCTCTCTCTCTCTCTCTCTCTCTCTCTCTCTCTC